CCTATTCCGTTTTGTTGTTTGTTCCAATTTTATTTATTTATTGATTGATTTTTTTATGTATCTTTCCATGCATATTTGTCTCTTGCACTTTTTTACTTATTCAATATTGTTGGTTGTTGCACTCTTCTATATTCTTTTCATTATCTTGTATACTTAGAATATATGCTAGGTAATAACTCTTGTGTATAATTTTTTCATTTTTTCCTTTTCTAGTTTACATTTAGAAAATAATATAATTTATTATGAACAATTTCATCATTAATTGTAAACCATTATACATGATTCTTGTCAATCCCTTTGTAACCTTGACCTTCTTGGAGAGGACTTATATATCCAATCCAATTATGTGATTTGACTTTACATAATAAAATACCGATTAAATTAAAAATTAGATACAAACGAACTCTGGCGGAAGTTTGCAATAATTACTAGTTTCATAAAAATACTAATGTAGTTTTTTTTTTCCCCTTTAAAATGGAGACTCTTACTATGTATCAAAACAACAAATGAAGTCATTAGTCATTTAGCTATTTTCTATAGAAACATATTTCTTTGATAAGCTTAGTTTTCAAGATGATGTTGATTGATTTATCAGAACCGTAGAATGCGGGAGGGGGACAACACGACAATATATACCTTCACAGGGGGGCTTTTTTTTCTGAGTAAAGTGTATTCTGCTATATTAATTAAATTTTTATCTAGATGCTGGTTGCCCCCACCCCACTTTTTCTTGTTGTAAAGTCGAGCACTGGCAAATTCCAGAATTTGGACAGTTTAGTTTTTTTTTATTGTCAGATTTTTTGGGGGAGCTAGGTCCCCCCTCCCTTGAAACTGTTGCCACGGACCTGCTTATAGGGGGAATATACATGCTCTAGAAGTTGCAGAAAGAAAAAAAGCCTGTGAAGCACATATTTTTAGTCTTTAAACAAAATAGGTGTAAATCTAATATTTTAAAGAGAATAAGATGTCTAACCATGAAATTATGAAAATATGTACATAAATGTCAAATTTTGTGATAATTTTTAATTTTCCATTTGGTATATACTTTCCCCACAAATTTTCATCTTTTTAATTTATTAATGAAAATGACACTAATTACGAATTCTGAACATGATAGCAGATAAATTGATAGATTGTTGAAAGTTATTTTGCGTTAATTTTGTGTTTAGATTAGCCATATATTTTTCTTTTTCATTTGAGATACCGGTAGTGTAATGAACAAGTGGCCTATAGGCCACATCGCTCACCTGACCACATTGGCTTGGCAATAGCACAAATCAGTTCAGTATTGAAAAAGATTACCGGGGAGGGGGGGGGGGGCTTGAATTTTAAACTACCTGATGATGTTTCCATGTCAATATAACAAATGGCTTTGTTGTACTTGAGAAGATTTTAAAAAATTTTCCCATATATTCCTTCGTAAAAATTTGATCCCCCATTGTAGCTCCTCCCTATCCCAGGGGTAATCATTTGAACATACTTGAATCTACACTACCTAAGGATGCTTCTATATCAATATGACTCTAACATAGCTTTTCTGTTCTTGAGAAGAAATATTTTTTCTATATGTTCTTATGTGAAACTTTCGACCCCCCAAAGGGCCCCACTCTACCCCCCGGGGGTCATCATTTGAACAAAATTGAATTTACACTACCTGAGGATGCTTTCATATCAAAATGACTAAACATGATTTTCAGTTCTTGAGTAGAAGATATTTTCCTATATATTCCTATGTAAAATTTTCGATCCCCCATTATGGACCAACCCTATCCCATGGGGATCATCATTTTAACAAACTTGAATCTACACTACGTGAGGAGGCTTCCATATCAAAATGACTAATCATGGCTTTGCAGTTCTTCAGAAGTAGATATTTTCCTATATATTTCTATTTAAGACTTTGATCCCCCATTGTGGCCCCACCCTATACCCCAGGGGTCATAATTTGAACAAAATATAATCTACACTACCCGAGGATGCTTCCACATAAATTTGATCAATCAGGGCTTTGCTGTTCCTGAGAAGAAGATTTTTCCTATATATTTCTATGTAAAACTTTGATCCTCCATAGTGGCCTACCCTACCCCCGGGGGTCATGATTTGAATAAATTTGAATCTTCACTACCTGAGGATGCTTCCATATAAATATGACCAATCAAGGCTTTGCTGTCCCTGATAAGAAGATTTTTCCTATATTTTTCTATGTAAAACTTTGATCCTCCATCATGGCCCCGCCCTACCCCCGGGGGTCATGATTTGAACAAACTTGAATCTACACTACCTGAGGATACTTCCACATGAGTTTCATCTTTCCTGGCCCTGTGGTTCTTGAGAAGAAGATTTTTAAAAGATGCTATAATTTTTCACCAATTCTTTATTATCTCCCCTTGAAAGAGGGTGTGGCCCTTCATTTCAACAAACTTGAATCCCCCTTCACCCAAGGATACTTTGTGGCAAGTTTGGTGGAAATTGGCCCCGTGGTTCGTGAGAAGAAGTCGTAAATGTCAAAAGTTTACAGACAGACAGATGGACAGACAGACGGACGCCGGACAAAAAGTGATCAGAAAAGCTCACTTGAGCCTCTGGCTCAGGTGAGCTAAAAAAGATGATAAACGTTTTCTAGAGATTCTGGTCAGAAATGTAAAAATGTAAATGTAAAATGTGTTATTTTATTTATTCATTTATTTACATATGTATTTATTTATTTATTTAGATAATTTGAATAATACTGAATCTAAACTACGAAGGGATGCTTACCAATTAAACAAGACTAATCGTGGCTTTGCTTTTCTTAAGAGGGAATTCTAAAGTTTTATTCTTCATTATATAAAGATCTTTTCTGGCCCAGTGGTTCTCGAGATTTTAACTGACACTAACAGAGAATGGAGGCGCACAGGACGAGGACAACCCCCCGCTCTGAGAAAAAGCCATTTCTCAATCTCTGAAAGTTCATGAAAAGTTATATTTTTCAAAAAATGTATTGTCAATTCATCTTTTACACGTTTGCTTCCTTTATCTTTGGTGAATGACTTACTGATAAATGATTTATTTTTCACTAACGTTTTTAAGGTATGTGAAAAGGAATAAAAGAGCTCACACGATTCGAACTCTCCCCTAGATCAAGACTGCACGCATTAACCACTACGCAACGGTCTTCTTGTTATTTATGTGTTACATAAACGATTGTTTGTTCAAATTTTACTTATTTATTCATTGATTTTTTTTTGGTATCTTTCCATCCATATTTGTCTCTTGCACTTTTTTATTTACTTTTTGTTGAAGATGACATTACTGATAACTTAAATTGTAATTTTAGAAAAACGCAACTTTTCCGTAAACTTTGAAAATTGAGAAATATATTGTCGCAGGGCGGGGGATTGTCCTCGCCTTGTACGCCCTCATCCTTTTCACCATTCTTAATTACCTCCCCTTTCAAGAGGCCACGGCTTTTCATTTGAACATTCTTAAATCCTCTCACCCAGGGATAATTTATGGCAAGTTTGGTCGAAATAAGTCTAGTGCTTCTTGAGAGGTTGAGAATGTGAAGTTTACATGTGACAGATGACACACCACAGACAGTGGACATCAGGCACTCTTAGCTCAGAAAAGCTCAATTTAGCCTTTGACTCCGGCTAAAATGATACAATTACATCAACAATGGATTTCATATCACTGCTGGTTACTAAACAGCCTTTTGAGCAAGCTGCAAAATATAATAAAACAAAATTTCCAACTACATGTATTTTTATTTTTTCAATAAGCTAATTGTAAGCTGACAAAATGAAGTGAATAATTAAAATACAGCAAAACACTGCTAGAACACAAGTTTTTATGTGCTTTCGGAACTCTTCTGATAGAATGCAATACATATTAAATGTATACCAGTATATATGTGAAATGACTTTAAAATACTAAATTTGAATGAAAAAGCAAATTGATATAAACCACCCAATTACTCCATATGCATTCACATTAAGTTAAATAAGGCATTAATGTCATGATCTTTAAATTTAAATACTTTTCTGCATGGAATACTGTACTAGGACATTCTAACTATATACCATGCCTTCTTATAGTCCTTTCTACATGTGAGACACATTATCAACCATAAAAATCCAGTACTCTCATCATTTTTTTGCTATATCTATTGAAACATCTAGATCAAAATAAATTTTATCTCTCTGTAGCATACTACATATGTTACTATAATAGCATTTCTTTGAAATTCTCTTCATGCATGATTTTTAACAAAAAAATATTTTGGGAGTTCAAAATGTAGAAAAACAACATATATACAACATGTATGCTGGCATTAAAATACACAAAGAAAAAGATCCGTAAATGTAAATGCAAAATTAAATCATACAAATAAAAAAAATTCAAGACTCGACATTACTAAATCCATGTGAAATGTGTATACATAATTTATTCACCTTCCTTTTGTAGGTTAAATAAGATGTGTAAAGATAATAAAGCTCTTCTGATTAATTTGCAGCGATAAAAATTTGAAACATTTACATATGACTTTCTAATGTACATTTCAATTTCAACTCCTCAACAAGATTCTCATAAAATTTTAAGAGTTACATAAAAATAATTTACAACATATGCTTATCTACAACATGCACTGTTCTAATTTAAAGTATATACACATGCAATTACAGAAAATGTTAGCTACCTAACATAATTCAAATTTTAAATTTCACTTTCCATACTTAAACACAGTGGCTATGTGCAGAATTCCAATCATAAGCATTTCACAAATCCCTTCATTCCTCATACATTGAAATATACTGTGCAATTCGTAGCAATTATTCATGTTAAATATTTTCATTATCATAGATTTGGACTTTTTCACCTTTTTATTTTGTTTTGACTGATAAATTGAGCAATATATAAATATTAAATATATATATATATATATATATATATATATATATATATATATATATATATATATATATATATATATATATATATATATATATATATATTGGAATTCTTCTGAACATTTTACATTTTAATGTACTTTCTCAATAAACTTTCCTGTGACAAAAGTAGAGAAAAAAGATTCAGTTGCTAAATACAATATGAATGTTTAAAATACTTGAAAGCAAATACAAAACCTTTTTAAAAACATATAGCTAAGTCAATCCTGGATATAAAATGTAAAACACACCCATTACCTAAATGTATTTTTTTCACCAAACACCCATCCTTTATATCATTAGTTTACATGTAATTGCATACCAAATGCTCACATTTTGCAAAGTGAAAATTCTACATATATATTTAACTCTTAATCAAAATGCAACTTCTGTTTTCAAACAACATTTTCTCAAATAACATTTTCAAAGAGCCCAGGATTTTACTTCCAGTTTTTGCTCCCTTTCAAAAAAAAAAAAACTTCCCAATTCAGTTAAAATATGATGGATACAAATCAAAATTTATCTTTTGAAACTGTTCAATCATTCCTTAAAAAACCTAGCAAACAAGAGAGTTCATTTAGTCCAACTGCACTCAAACTTAATAAATAATACATGGCATATTTTCAACAAAGCATAATAACTTCTTTTTTTATGTGTGAATATAATTTTCTTTCAAATCATGTGAATAAAATTTCAAAATGAGTTCAAACAAAAGTAGAATCAAATACAATCAATTTCTCCTGTGATAAACATCTTTAGTTTCAGATTCAACAAATGCAGTCTACAGATGGCTTGAATCCTCTGCACAAAATATCCAATTTCCTGTTTTTTAGAATAGCAGGTCTCTCCATGGTAATGCTATTACATGTATTTCATTGTTATGACTTTTATTGAATTTGTTTAAGCTTCTTCAAGTCTATGCACAAATGTTACAGCATCTGAGTTTAGAGTGCACAAAAAGATGTTGATCAAAAATAGGATGACAACATCCAAGATAAAAAATAATCCATATTCATCTGCCTATCTTTGCCAATTGCAACAAACTTTTACAGTGTTTAGTCCTCGTCTTCATCGCTTTCTTCTTCAGCTTGCTCTAACCATGTCAGCCACTGGTTCACCTAAAAATACATCACTTTACTCAGTAGCTACATATCATAAAAGGAAAATTTATAAAGCAAGCGCTCTTTAAGATGACATACAAATAAATTCCCTGTAGTCAATATTCATTGTTTATGATGCTGAAAGTCACAGAGAGTGTCTTTACCTGGAACAAAACCTTCCCCTTTCCTGGATACAGATCATTAACTTCCTTACCTGGAACAAAGCCTTCCCCTTTCCTGGATACTGGTCATTAACTTCCTTACCTGGAACAAAGCCTTCCCCTTTCCTGGATATTGGTCATTAACTTCCTTACCTGGAACAAAGCCTTCCCCTTTCCTGGATATTGGTCATTAACTTCCTTACCTGGAACAAAGCTTTCCCTTTTCCTGGATATTGGTCATTAACTTCCTTACCTGGAACAAAGCCTTCCCCTTTCCTGGATATTGGTCATTAACTTCCTTACCTGGAACAAAGCTTTCCCCTTTCCTGGATATTGGTCATTAATTTCCTTACCTGGAACAAAGCCTTCCCCTTTCCTGGATATTGGTCATTAACTTCCTTACCTGGAACAAAGCCTTCCCCTTTCCTGGATACTGTTCATTAACTTCCTTACCTGGAACAAAGCCTTCCCCTTTCCTGGATATTGGTCATTAACTTCCTTACCTGGAACAAAGCTTTCCCTTTTCCTGGATATTGGTCATTAACTTCCTTACCTGGAACAAAGCCTTCCCCTTTCCTGGATATTGGTCATTAACTTCCTTACCTGGAACAAAGCTTTCCCCTTTCCTGGATATTGGTCATTAATTTCCTTACCTGGAACAAAGCCTTCCCCTTTCCTGGATATTGGTCATTAACTTCCTTACCTGGAACAAAGCCTTCCCCTTTCCTGGATACTGTTCATTAACTTCCTTACCTGGAACAAAGCCTTCCCCTTTCCTGGATACTGGTCATTAACTTCCTTACCTGGAACAAAGCCTTCCCCTTTCCTGGATACTGGTCATTAATTTCCTTACCTGGAACAAAGCCTTCCCCTTTCCTGGATACTGGTCATTAACTTCCTCTTTCCATTTCAGAAAAGCTTCCTCTTCAACAACTTCCATGTCATATAAATTCATGAAGAAACGTAACAGCATACCTGTTTCATAACCAAATAAAAGTTGACATAAACACTGAACAAGGTTTATTTAATATCAATACGAATGGTCAACATTGACTTTGGATAGCCTTAGTTCAATATCTGTAATTACATTTTTACTAAATTTTCCAAACTTCTTGGGTAGAAAATGTGTAAGTAGTTCATTCTTTAAGAAATATATAAAACTATTTGATTTACAGTATGTATATACATGTTTATTCTTCATTTCATTGCATTTCATAATTATTTGGGTTACCTTTTGGAAATTCATGAGAGTAACAAAAGACTTGAGCTGCATAAAGAGCAGCAATTTGCAGATCAACATGTTCATGTAGAAACATCTGCAAAACTCCCTAAAATAGATAAAATATTTGACATGTATTCATTTTTCAGATGACAAAAACTTTTAAACAGGAAGAACAAATTTTCGACATTTCTTGAAATTGGGATTTTCCATTACCTTCATTTTCTCCAAATTCTGTTTTTCTTTGTCTATCAGTGTCTTTTCTGGGGCTACTGTGATATCTACATCATCCCCAAGAGTTGAATCTTGAGTTACATATTTCATCAAACTACAATATTAAAAAAAATATTACATGTACCTGTCGTATGCTTCTTTATTTTTGTTGTTTTTTAATTTTTTAGTTTTGAATATTCAGAATACATTGTGTCCATAAATTCAGTGCCTGCACAGAAGTTTACATAGACCATCTTGCATGATATACTGTTTATTAATTAAGTTATACCTTGTAGTAAGAATATTCAGAAATCCTGACGTGTACTGGAGATCAGTGTTGACATGCTCCTTGATCCACTTGAACAAAGCCGTGGCACTAGGTTCTGTCTGCATTTCCTTCCACAGCTCTGACTGAACTCGCAGAAGGGGGAACAAGAAACTCAGCCCCCTGTCTTCCAAGATTTCCATCATGCGCTCTTTTCTCTGATCAATTTCTAAACAAATGCATGGCATTCTTGTATTTTGTATATGAATTCAAGAGTTTATACTGTATAACATTAAAAATTTCTACACATGTATTGTGAATTATATAAAATTTTGTAGTAAATAACAAACATTATTCCTTCGATTAAAAAAGCTAGATGTTCAGATTCCAATATAAAGATTTTCAAATAACTGTTGATTTCTTGCATGTCATATTACCTGGCAACATTTTCAGTAAGTCCAGTTTACTCTCATTAAATAGGTTAGCGAGCCAGTCTTTGCCCTTGATTTTGTGCATCTGTTGGAGTGAGATCAGGAATAAAGGATAGTAAGCTCCATTCTCCAGGGGTTCCGCCAGCTCATTCAAGGTCACTACCTGACCTGTGATACTCATGGCAGCAAATGTAGAGACATATGACCTTATCAAGGGGAATTCAGCCTCCATATCACCCATCTGTTCAAAAACTGACTGAAGTGCCTGTTAAAAGATGATAGTGACCATGAAAATCTTATCTTTGACTTTTATATTTAGAATGACCTTGACTTTTTAAGAGTTCTTCACATTTTCCAGAATTCTCTGCCTAACATATGAAAACATGTTCAAGAAATAATATACATTTAAATCTCCTTAACCAATATTTTTCGAAATAGAACATCTTTCACTAACCTCCATGGTTTGGTCTGAAGTGATGAGATTGTCAGCTTTCATTGCTGAGATCAATGTCATCATCTTCTCCCTGTCATCATCTGTCTTCTCCACTGTCATCTTCATCATCTTCATCAACAACTCTGGTATGTATCTACAATTACAAAAATATTTCAGCTCTATGTAAAAAAAAAAAAAAAATTGACAATATTGCACAGTGTATGTAATTTTGGTTACTCTGTTTCGTTACACAGTAAGTTGCTCCCTTAATTCTGACTTACTTTTTGGGAGCATACATGTCCTTGAAAGCTGTCAATGCTTCATTGGTTTCACCATTCGCCAAGTAATCAGTCAGTAAATTCTCCTGCAATGGAAAGCAAGTACATTTACTGTATTTTAACCAAACCTCCTAGCTAAACATCTTTTAAACCAAAGTATAATTTATACAATGTATTTACATGTATGTAATTCTATAGCCAAAAGACACTGATACAAGTTGAAATATACCACAATCTTCTGTGCTTCATCCTTGCTAGGCGTAAATTTTTTGTTGGATTTGGGCTTCTCTTTACTTTCCACCTGTTTAATAGTTATCTGTGGCTGAAAGACACAAAATTTTAACCATGACAATTTTGTGTTTAAACAGCACTTTGAACAAATCTACAAAAATTCTTTGCGAAACACAATCTTCCTGGTAGTGGAAATTTTTAAGGTAGCATTTTTCAGTTTTTTTTTTTTTTTGGGGGGGTGGGGGGGGGGGGTGTCTCATTTTCAAATGTCAGCATTTATAATTTCTATGCATCTGATTCACAATTATCTTCCTCATAAGATGGTAATGAATCATTATATATTATTTAAGCTTATGGTGATCTGGAATTGATTGCCAAATCAATCCACATTTAATTCCCAACCAGAACAACACATATTGTGCTCAGGATCAGACAGAAAGCCTCGACTAAAGGGGAAAATTGTCTCTTGTTTTACAATCTTTCATAGTAAGTTTTGGAAGAAAAACTACATAAATCCTGATTGTTGATCTCAAGAACACTAAATAACATGCACAGTATAGATGCAGAAATTAAGATTACCTGTTTGTTGAGTAGAGGCTTTGGTGGATCCGGAGCTGCAGTCATTCTCATAGAACCTACTGGTGGTGCTGTGGGATGTGTTGACCTTGGCAAATTACTTGGCGAGTTAGGCTTAAAAACATTAAAGTTTTTGGCTGGTCTCAGGCTGATTTCTTCATTAGGAGGTACTATGACAACAGCTGTTCCATTCATTGCACCCGGAGGAGCAGTCTGTGACTGCTGCTGTTGTGCTAATTTGACAAACCTTGGTGGCAGATCTCTAGGTGCATTATCTGAAAGAGCAACTTTAATTAAACAAAGAAACAATCAGTATCTTACTTCACATAACCCCCTTTTTGTGATAAAAAAAAAAGTCGGACAAGTGTGCAAGAATCAAATGTATAGAGTACAAAAATTGTGCATATTTCTACTTTCCTATTCTTTTTTAAAACACTATTTTATCTTTGTGTTACCAACACAAGTGCTTGGATCAAGTTTATTTCACACTTACTATCTTTTTTCAAAGTTCCTGAATCAGAAGACTTACTGTGTGGTGGCTGAAACTGTTGCTGATTTTGTGGGGAGTGTCGCCCCATGGTGGGGCTTCCCCCATTCTGTCTCCTCTGCATCCCCGGGTCCCTTTGTTGATTATTGAATTTATTGAATCCCTGTCCCTGCTGCTGCATCATTCTCTGTTTACCTCCCAGGTAACCTGGCATGTCATTAATCACACCGGGTCCTGTCCCTATTGAACCTAAAATCAAATTAACAGGAATTCAAATCCATTCACAAGTCAAAATATAATAACATTAATAACAAATAAAAACAAAAATTTGAACATTGGGATAATACTTTATATTTGAATTATTCCAGCCTTTTTTCCTCCAACTTTTGCTCAATATATTTTCTAGTCAACTATGCTAATCATGTGCTTACACTTGAAAAGTCATTCATTAATAGTCAAATACAGATTTAATTTCCTGACTCCTACCCATCATCATGCCTGGACCTGACATTCCAAATAAATCCCCCATGTTTCCCTGCTGTCCAGACATCCAGCCCTGCATATTCCCATTCATCTGCCTCCCTCCATACATCCGATTCTGTTGTGGCATCGGATAATATTCACCCTCCTCCTTTTTATATAAAAAAATGACCTTCATTGACAAGTTCACAATATTTTTCTCAAAATGACTGCATACATGTACTTATTCATGTGTACTGCATCATAAAATTGATATTAAAATACATGTAATAAGTAAGTTTCACACATAAATTATATTATATCTGCAATAATTGTAATGTTATATATCAAACTGTGCTTACATCAGCGGCTTCTTTTCGTATTTCTGTAATTGTCCTAGGTCCATTTTCTCTGTTGATATGGCGCGGTTTCCACTGAAATGATCAGAGAGTTGGATTTATATTTTTTATTTACTTTACTTTCACATTCTTTACAAATATATTACTATAAGCAAATGGCTGTCAACAATTTATAGAGAAGAATTTCTCACATTATTGTTTCTGAGTTCTTGTACATCCTGAAGCATGAATCGAATTCTGGAAGGCAGTTCTTCTCTGTTAGCGAATGACCTCATTCGTGCAAAATATTGATCCATCCAGGACTAAAAACAAGAATCAAAGTCCAATGTCTGATTGTATGAAATCAAAATACTTTCAACATTTGCTATAAATTCTTAGCATTTTATTTATTTTGACGACAGAAGTATGAATTTGTGCTATTCAAATATCTTAATTACTGTAAAACAGAAAAAAAAATTGCACATGTATTCTTTGAAAATTTAAAAAGAAAACAGCTCTGAAGAGGTAATTCTCAGGTTGCTTATTGTTGTTTTAGATTTCTTTTTTACCTTAGCCTTGTTGGTGTCAAGACGTCGTCCGACGGTGCGCATTAGGTAACACAGACACTCGAGGTCTTCAGCCATGTCTTCCATAGCGATGTTCTTCTTCTTCTCCAGAAGCTGTTTAATGCATTTATGTAGAATACCTTCATGAAGCATTTCCAGTTTCCCAAGTTCTCCTGTAACATATTAACATTAAAACAATGAATTTTTTCTGTCTTAAGGGGTCTTTTAAAATTGACAGTAAAATTTGGATTCATTTAAAGACACATTAAACAAGGAATTCATGTCTTACCAATGAATTTGATATTGCCAAGCATTTTCTGCTTGGCAATATGATACTGTTCTGCTTCATCTGGTGTAAGGGGGCTGTCTCGGCGATCAAAAACTGTAAAAATATAACAAATAAAAAAATTACTTTATGCTAATTAACAACTTCCAAAGCCTTAATAATGGTAGAACATTATCATTTTTTTATAATATACTTTAAAATAACTTTTAATGCTCCTTATCATTAGTATACTGTACATAAAAATAAGTTCTTAAATTCTTTAAATATCTAAAAAAAAAAAAAAAAAAAAAAGTCATCATTTCTAGTCTTATTAATTTAAACACTGCAAAATTCTTTTGAAAAAACTCTTAAATTATCTTGTGTTTATACAAGTAGATAAAAATGTACCATCAGTGGCCTTGGATCTGTTCTCAAATTCATCCTGGCACTTGTTTAAAAGAAGTCGTCTGAAGGTCTAGAAAATAGAAAAAAAAAATCAATAAATGAAATTTAATGCAACCACAGATGTTATGTTGCTAATTTAGTACAACACAAAGTAAAGAAATGTTCAAAAGTTCAACTTACTGTGATGTTAGATGAGGGTTGTTCAAAATTTGGAGCGTCTTCACATAGTTGATGGCATAACTGTGCGTACATAGAACTATACTTGGGTTCATCAAGAGCTTTTTCAAAAATCTTAAAACAAAAACAGCATTCAAGAATAAGCTACCGGTAAATCGTGTTGTCATAATAAGAGAAAAAGTATCATCATATAAATAGCTCTTTTTTATGTTCTAATGACTTTTGCAACTTACCAATAAAATAATTCCTCTAAGGATAACTTGGGACTCAATTCCTACATTGAGAAGTTCTAAACTGAGTTTGTCAAATTTTTCCGGTGTAAGTTTATTAAGTATTCTGAAAATAGAAAATAGATTGTTATAATTTTAAGTATAAAAACCTGTGTATGGAATAGTTACTATGGTTATAATAAATTAAGCTGTAGTAAAATATCAAAATCCTCCACTCACAAAACTTAGAAGCCTTTTAAAACCTTATATGTATACAAACCCCCTGACTCGTCGAAAGGTAAAATCTGTGCGTTCATCATGGCTAGGACCATCTCTCCTAAGTGTGCTGGGAGGAACCCATCGAGAAGCTGAAAGTGCCTGAGCACTTGAGCCAGAAAATTGGGGTGGTTTTTCGTCCCTGAATAGAGGAATTTACAATAAATAACTGTCATTAGTTGATTTACTTCTACTTTTTTACCCGTGTCTCATACTGTAACATGAAATACAGTTTCATCAGATAATGTGTTGTGAAATCCATCAATACATGTCAACATTTAAGTAGAAACAGTCTTGCAATATCTTGTAATCCTGTATTCTGAAAACATTTTTGATGGCAATTAATTTTCATGACTGTGGAATCATTATGATCATGGTTCATGATGAGAAATATTTGCAACTAAGGGAAGGTCACAGAATTCATGAATTGGAAATAAAAGTTGGCTTTTAGTACATGTATTACACATTTTTGTTGCCAAAATCATTCAGAGGTTTCATTATCATACCAAGTATGAATGAAAATGAATTCTTGTTTTTAGACACCACTATCATAGGCTTTTTAAAAAAAATATGTTCAGGAATATAAATTCTTGTCAACAATTTTTTTTTTGTGGCAACCCCAAACTGATACATACCTTCCTCCGGTGTGTGGAGAAGCACCACCCACTTTTGTCTGTCCGTCCAGAATGTTGCTGGTTTTCTAACAGTACTCGGTCCGACACAAATAGGACAAAATAAATAGAAAAAAGAGGGGATGCCTCTTTTCACCACTCTATCTACAATCCAATCAAATCATACAGTAAATATACATGTACATAAATACAACATGTACATAGCAATGTGTGCCTTTGGAACAAGAATGGAAAAGACTTTCAGTTCAAAGTATCTGTCACTGCCATCAATGTATAGCCACTTAGGGCAAATTACAACAGCATTACTTGACAACAAAGCCACCAACCCCTTTTCATTGTTCCAGGTTTCAAAATTCTTTTCTGACAAAGTAACACAGAGATACAAAATACATTCAAAACTTGTAACCAGTATCTCATAGTGGATTGGACCAATAAAAATTTCAAGTAAAGAAAATGTGAATGTAATTCCAGCAGATTTCAACATATCAATGGTATTGCAGATCTATATTGATGCTCAACATACCAACTGTATACACAAATATATTAAAAAAGAAAAAAATCTTGCTTCAGCAGAGGAATAACGTTTAACACAATAAAAAGAAGCTCTATTTGAGGTCATATGACTTAATTACGAGAGTTCTATTTGAAAGTCACTTGGGTGTCTTATTAGGGACAAACCCTTTTTAACATGTTTGAAGTCATGAATCTTAAAACTGACATAATTTTCTAAATTAACCTACTTATTTATTGTCTTATTATATCTAATCTTAGATTTCCAAAAAAAAAAGCTGTCTATTTGCTTATGGTTAACAAGAAAAAAATGGATTCTATGAAGTAATATATTCATTGCCAGATTAACCATTGTAAGTCCCATAATGTATTCACCTACATTTTATTTTATCAACCCCAATGTTTCTACCAAAAAAAAAAAAAAAAAAAAAAAAAAAAAAAAAAAGGAAAGGATGACTCAGACTACACATTCTAAATATTTGTAATGTTTCAAGTTCTTTGAGTATGATATTCAATGTGGAGTTTCAATACTTCAGAAAATTGATTACAGTAACCCCTTTTTTGTAAGGATAAAAATGATAAACCTCTACAGAATTATCATTTTAATATAAAACCTACCCAGCTGCTATTGTTTTCTCTTAGTGCAAGCACATCCCCTGTTTAAATAAACAAGTTTACATCCGGAATATAAGGCATTGCACTGTGATGTCATGTATTATGTAAATCGACTTTTTTTCTTTGTTTGTGGATTCCTTTGTTTCGATAATCAACTACTCTGGACTTCCAATGTGTTCCACTGTTTACCCACTTTACATTTGAGACGTATTCAATAAAAAGTCATATAATTGTATAGAAATTCGTTGTTTTCAAAAAGTATGTTTTCTACAAACAAGTACGACATTAGGCACCAAGGATCTCGTGCGTCTCCCCACGTTTTTCACGCTTGGAACTCGTGCTCTTTGTTGTACGAGGATAAAAATTGACAAATTCAAAAAATAATTCAAATGGAGAAAGTTCAAATAATTATACTTACACTCTTTTGTCACTTTCTTCCTGTAATGGTGTGTTTACTTGTTAACTGCCTAACTTCTTAAAATATTCAAGTCGAATGAAAAACATGCGGGGGAATTGTGGGTAATGTATGAGTAATGCATATATTTTTTTTTCCCTGAACCCTGAAACATTTTTAAAAAAAATATCTACGGTATTACAGTAAATAAAATCGACAAATTAAAGACGATGTCATTGTTTTAATAAATATTTGACATTAAAACAAATAAATGATTTTTTTCATTCGATTACGTATGCCAAGGTAGAGAACCTCATACATGCTTCAAAGATAGACAACTCGTTCAATGAGTTGGCTCTCCCAACATCTCTGGTAACGATAAAAAATAAAAATAAATAAATAATAATAATAACAATAAATATGTAAAATAAAAAAAGTGTCAAATTATCTCAAGTATTATGGAATAAAAAGATATGTCTTCTTGGTAACATAACACTTTATTTCCAGTACATGTATACATGGTATAAAACATATATAAAAAATCTATTTCAAAATATTATCAATGACAAATTCTTTAAAGCATATTTTGATAGAAATTAAATCATTTTGTCTAAAGTAAACCCTTTATCCTCTTTAATCAGTTTTCAATTTTTATCTCGAAGCTTTAGGATTAATGGCCTCGGTAAATCAAAGTACTGAAAGTACTGAAAGCCGGACTTTAATATGCTCGAGTATATTGTCTAATCCTAAATTAGTACATATTTGAAAATCTTTCTGACCATTGATATTTAACAGGTAGAGTTTGTATGATTATGATTTAACAATAACCCATCTAACAATAATTAAAATTAACGGTCCAGAACCCAACGTTAAGACCCCAGGATAGGACTTGGTGATATTACCTTTCTAAACATTAAGCTCACAATGGTTATGCATGGTGACAGTGCACTTTGAGTGGTTTTGCTGATTCATACAGGCACATATATAGTATCGGAGGAGCTAGGGGTGTCACCATTTTTCAAACATAAACTTTTACAATGGACAATGTACATTGGAAGGTTGATTGACTCTTCGCAATCAAATTTAAATTGGAACCTTCAACTCACTCTTCGTAATATATACCAGGTATTTGTCACGAACGACGAACAGATTTACTAAAAGCAAAATGGGTGGTCTAAATTTAATTAGATTGTACCCATCATTTTATTGTAGCATATTAAAATTACGGTAATTTGGTAAATTCGAAATGTGAAAGTAAGTTATAGCCCACCCCTACTCCTCTTAAAGAAATTGAAGTTCAAAATGGGTAGAAAAAACTTATCAAAATTGTATATTTCGTTTATCAGACCTATGCTTGAATATGCTTCAGTTGTTTGGGATGGCTGCTCTAAACGAGATTCTGAAAAGCTTGAAAAAGTACAATTAACCGCCGCTAGATTTGTAACAGGACTTCCGATTTTTGTGTCTAGAGAAGCACTATATTCTGAAACTGGTTGGGAAACTTTAAAAAGCAGGCGATATATTGCAAAAATGACAACTATGTTCAAAATTCACACGGGAAGAGTACCTGAGTATTTGCATGATATTGTCCCCAATAAGCGTGAGCATGTATCTCTATACAATACCCGTAATAAACAAGATTATATTGTTCCAAGGTGTAGATTAGAATTATTTAGAAACTCTTTCGTACCTGATGCTGCAAAACAATGGAATTTACTAAAAACAGAGGTTAGAGAAGCCATCTCAATCAAAACATTCCGAAAAAACTTGATAACAAAAATTAAAAATCCACCATCATACTTCTCTTTTGGTAAGCGATACACCAATATCATTCATACTAAGCTAAGACATTCCTGTATTCTAAATTATGATCTTTATAAACGAAACATTATAAATAGTCCCTTATGTTTATGTGGAAAAAATGAAGATGTGTACCATTTCTTTTTTGCATGCAAAAATTATTCTAATGCAAGAAGTACTCTTTTTAATCGCTTGTTCACTCTTGAATTGGTTACTATTGATATAAATCTATTATTATGTGGTGATGTTAATTTGCCTTTACAGATAAATAACAGTATTTTTGCTGCTGTTCATAAATTTATTGACGAAACATGTAGATTTTCTAGTTGATATGCTATTTAATTGCTTTTTCACTTGTATTAATTGTATTATTTTCTTCTATTTTGCATGACAAATTGTTATATATAAGGAGAGGAACTTTGTAAGTTGTAAAGAACTTGTTTCCAATCCTTTTGATGTACTCAATAAAATATGTTCAAAACAAAACAACTCACTCTTCGTAATATATACCAGGTATTTGTCACGAACGACGAACAGATTTACTAAAAGCAAAATGGGTGGTCTAAATTTAATTAGATTGTACCCATCATTTTATTGTAGCATATTAAAATTACGGTAATTTGGTAAATTCGAAATGTGAAAGTAAGTTATAGCCCACCCCTACTCCTTCTCCAACGGAATAGGATTCTCGGGTTTGAACAATTTTCCTTTTTTTCTCCTTTAAAAACGATACTACATGCCTGTATTAATCAGAAAAAAATATTCTTTTTTTTTTTTTGATCCTCTAGAAAACCAGCTGCACGAAAATTATAATTATCTAATTTTTAAGACATGAATATGAGTCTAGTTCTAGTTCCAAGTTCGGCTAAAATGATCATTGCCTGAGAAAATCATGATATATTCAGGTCTTTATGGCTCGTACATAGATGGCTCTTCATTCTGAACAGGAAGTTTTGAAGCAAAGACTAACCAACTTTTTCTGAAAAATTATGTGTTGTACTTAGATAAAGAGTAATGAACATTTTTATATGTTGTATTTTTTAAATTATATATTAACATAAACGATTTTTATTTCCCAGCACCCTTGAGAGTTTGTATGTGTTTTTAGACAATTTTTTTTTGGAATGCGCGCACACGCTCAATATACTGTAAAGCGCTTTGGGAGCACATACGAGATGAATCCAAGGTGAGAAGTCTTGAACAAAATTTTCACATTTAAAACATACCATTGACTTTTCACTAAAAATTTAATCTGAATTTGTAAGCATAAAAATTTTCGACGCTAAATTGATTGTTCAATGGGTATAAATAATTAATATATTATACATAAACATATTCACATGAAATTTCTATCTTAAAGTTTAAATTTTTATTTATTTATATTCCATGCTTCACAGAATATAAATCTTTAACCCAGTCATCTAAATTAAAACTTTTAAATTAAAATATTAACCAAATGGAATTGCTTTGTTTATTTCATATTATGAAAGAAAAAAAATAGTTTTGAACTTCATTTAAATCACCTTTATACAAAATCTTAGTCGCCCGCGTGGCGCAGTGGTTAGAGCGTCTGCTCTAGAGTCGCGAAGTAAGGAGTTGATCCTTACGTCGCGGGTTCGAATCCCACTGTGGGACGTGGAGACCGGTCCTTCGCATGAGACCGTATAAACCGAGGTCCCGCAGTAGATGCTGGCATAAAAAAGATCCCTCACTGCTCAATGGTCGTAAGTGCCGAGTATGGGACAAAATTTGCAGCTCTCCTCCGGCAAGTGGTGGCGTCTCCATATGAGTGAAAAATTCTGGAGAGGGACGTTAAACAACATACAAACAAACAAACACAAGATCTTAACCACCATAAGGAATTTTGTTCGAAATTATTTATTAGAAAGGAGAAAGTTATTTTAATTGCATTCAGGGTTATCGAAGTAATACCGTATTTTCAAACCCTTTTCTTTAAACGCATTCAAATTTTAACTTTTTTTATTTGAGTAGTAATATATTGAAAACATTTCAGCATTACCAGTTTTACGGCGTAGAATTTGTCCGTCAAATTCTAATTCTGGGCCAACCGTGAGTTTTCCTCTTATTGTTGAACCCAGATTCATAAAACCTCCAATAAGCCAACACGCGTTATAGTTTTAGTACTTTTATATAGAATCAGCATGGAATATACTTTTACATGAGTTTGGGATGTATCAGCACCGAAGGTCTGATTCCAACTGACTATAAATTTTCACAACAAAACATACATACTGAACAAAGAAAGAGTAAAATAAAGGATTAACAAAAAGTATTAAGAAATCAAGTATTAAACAATTATTGAGCGAATGATGACATTTTAGCGGCATGTATATAATAGAATTAAAGTAGATGAAAGATTAAGTGTCAATAAATATAAACAGAAGTCAATTAAGGGATTAGGTGTCCATCTCTGATTGTATCTCGGGTGGGATTACGGCTGTGCGGAATTTATAGAATTTAACAATTTTAATTCTACTAATAACATATGGCTAGTTAAGGGAATACATAAGTCATTTGTTTTATTTAATGTCACTAATTTAAACATTTAAGGTCATTAATTTAAACATTTAAGAAAACAATTAATTTTTTACAAAAAACATTTGTCTGTCAATTGCCAAACTTTTTTAAAAAGAATGTTGGTTTGCTGATTTTTCTTTGGATAGATTTGAATTAGAATTTAATTTAAAAAAAATTAAATTCATATTGGTTTAATAATTTATGCAATTCATAGTTAAAGTAATGCACATATTTTTAGAGATATTCTTTAAGTTTCAAACAAACAGTACTTTTATTGCCGACTAGATACACCATGTACAATTGTTAGACGACTTAATTCAGGCATAACGCACATTAATTCGTCAAACTCCAATTTACTTATCTATTTATTTGCTGAAAGACAAGCCTGAGAATATAACCACTCAGACACATAACATCGACGAAAACGATATGAAATTCTTAATTCAATATAGGCAACCTGTCGAAAAGCCCGCTCTAATTGAAAATAGTTCGCATACAATATGCAATTCAGTAGCGTATGTGCACAAATTGTTATATCACGAACACCCTAATAAAGTAAATATCTAATTCCTCTTTCAATTTAATTCTCAAACAAAAATATTGATCAATTTCCGTAGATTGAGATGATAAAAATATTTGTGTAAGTATCGTCTTTCAATGTGACTATTTTGTTTATCGGAAGCGTCTGTTTTGACGCTGTTAGGCTTTTTGTTTACTTTTCTGAACCTGTGCTATTTATAGTAAGGCAGTCGGTCACGATGCCTACAGCCAGGACTTTGCTTTCAGCAAAGCCCGGCTAAAAATGTACCTTGACCTTACACTGAAATAAAAAGGTGAAGGGTGTGGTCATTGCATTTTTATCCAAGCACTCTGTAATAAAAGCCAATTGTGGGGGGAAAAATAGCCTGTATTTCAGGAAAGGAAATTTGCAGAGAATTTTAAAACCTTGACCTTTTATTTATTTACAATTTTTATAACCATGTATAACATCACTGTAAATTCTTACCTGAAAAGTACTATAGCCTTGCTCATATGGTATAATCAAACAGAGATTCAAAACCGAGACTAAATATCTGAAATATCATTGACCTTTGAACAAAAGTATTTTGTCTATGACAATGCTAATAGAGGGTATAACTGACAGATACAGCATTGTAACAATTGATTAAAGGGGCAAAATATGAAAACTCTTGCAAAACAATTTTGGACAACATGAAAAAACACAGATACAACACTAACAAACAAATGGTTCACTGTTTAAGATGTGTAGATCAGATCCCATTTTGGGGGGGGGGGAGGGGGGAGGGGATATTTTTTTTTCTATTTCTCACTCTGACAGTAAGTAAACATGGGTCTGGTAAGGAAGCCGAATACACAGTCATTTGTTGTGTATCTATAATCTCTTAATATGTCCTGTAATCATTTCAACAGACGACATTTTTACATCTACTGCAGCCATGGATATCATCAACATCTGTAATCACAATAGATTGAATCCTCTACAGCATGTAGTGCTATTTCTGACAACAATCTTTTAAGGATAGTTATAATGGAAAGATAACTCAGAATTTAAAAAGTTTTGCTGATTTATTTCTTGCAACAAAACTGCATATATATATATTTAAAAAAATGCATTTTTAAATACATGTACATGCATCAGTTTTAAAGCATTTTATGTGTCATTGTTTGTACATAATACTGTGAACAGTTGTAGCAAAAGAATGATTGTACAAACTATTTAGACTAAGTGTAAAATAGCAACAAGATAATAAATCTTATTTACCAAATACATGTAATCATTTTAAGGGAGTCTTATTTAATGATATTCTTATTGTCTTTGATTTAATTGTTCTTTATCATTAATTTTCTTTAACATTAGATGCCTCACATCAGGTATTCCGAGGGCCTTTTGCACCTTTAGGTTATTGAGTAATAACAGTTGTACAAGACTGCAAATAGCTGATGTTGACCAATAAAATGTAATACACTGAAAATAAAACAAAAAAGGAAATAGATAGTTTATCATAGTGACATTTGTTATATACAGTCATTTTCTATATGTAAATACATGTACACACAAAAAAATTATGCCAAGTGGACCTATAGATGTTACTTTTGAACTACACTGTAAACATAAATAAAAATTTAGTGCAATCTTACTTATTAACTTATTTATAGCACAATCATGAATTAGTTCATTTGGAGAGAAGCTTCTATATGCATTTTTTAATTGTATATTAGCAAGCTGCAGTGTTTTCCCTTTATTTCAAAGTAAAGGGTTAGAGATCAATTGTAACAGGCTTTGGGTTGAAGTTTAATGACAAATCCCTGTGGGCTTTATGACAATTAAATTTTGATTTTTTAAATTTCAAAGCAGTATTTTTATCAATTGAAGTTGTCAATTTGGCCAGTAGCTGGTTCTCATAGGAAGTTGCACGAAAGGCACTAAAATATGATTACCTCTAAACTAAATACATTTTAAGTAAATAATACATAACCTCAAGCATTGCAAAGTTTATGTAACATATAGCTCAATTACCTAATGATTTAACAAGAGGTCCATGGGTCACAAAACTCACCTGAGTCAATATGACCTTGTTCTTCATCAGTAGATTTTCCCCCCAATATAATCCTATGTACCATTTTGATCACATATTGTGGTCCAACCCTACTCTTGAAGTCATGATTTGAATAAACTTGAATCTACAATACTTGGGGATGCTTCTTTATAAATATAACTATTCATGGCTGTGCTAAGAAGATGTTTAAAGATTGCCATTAAATTTTCACTCATACTTAATTATCTCCCCTTGAAAGAGAGTATGGTCCTTCATTTGAATAAACCTGAATTCCCTTCACCTTAGAATGCTTTTGGCAAGTTTGGTTGAAACTGACTCAGTGGTTCTGAAGAAGATGAAAATGTGAAAAGTTTACAGCAATGATGCCAACAGACAATAGACAAATTTTGATCAGAATAGCTCACTTGAGCCTTGGCTCAGTTGACCTAAAAAAAAAATCAAAAAGTTGTGAGGAAAACAAAACAATATATAACTCTGATGCAAAAATTTTGTGAGGTGACATCCAGTACCTATCAATTTCATCTTCTACAGCATTTACCCCACAAAGACTGCATAATCTGTCTGAAAAAAATGTCACCTTTATATCTTCCAGTTCCTACTCTGATAGACCAAATGCCACACCTAGTTTGAGATAAAGATGGGTAGAAATGTTTTCTGACTCAGATAATCTAAAGAAATAGGTTCTACCTATGATCCTGTTACTGTTTTCTCTCCTTAAAAAGGATCAATCCTTCTTTTAAACAAATTTGATATCTCTTCTACATGTATCAGAAGGCATTTTTGCAAACTTGTAAATGCCCAGTGAGGTTTCAAGAGGAAGGCAAGAAAAGAAAATTATAATAGATAAACTACACTCTAGGCTGGACAAACTTTGACCAGAAAAGCGAACAAAAATCTCAATATTATCAGTGATTATCAGTGACATAGACCTTAGATCAAATCAGTAAAATATATCTGTATGATAAAATACTGAAAATCTAGGAAATAAACATGATATGCACTTACTGAGGGCATTAGGATGCTAATTGAGAATATCGCTACTGAATAAAACATCATCATTCCTGTCAGTATTTTGGCTAAGTTTCCTCTCTTCATTTTCCTAAGTTCATAAAGGTTTATCTGCAATTGTATAAGATAAATAAAATTCAAACTTGGAAATAAATGTGAAAGGCAGTGTTTCTGAAAACACAAAAGATTTTTTAAACAATTTTTTACACAAAAGGTGTAAAATTTGATAGAATTACACATAGAAGGAGACCTATAATCTTTGCTATCAAGGGTAAAAAACCACTCCACTCAAGTGAAAATGGTGACTTGGCTAAAGTGAAGATAGAAACCTATAGGAACAGGCAAAAAATGCCTTCTTGAATTGATTCAATCGACTACAAGGAAATTCAATTCTTTTTGTTAAAAAATATTTAATATGTACTTACTACACCAATGGCTAGATTTGTTGACAGAAGAATGACTGGTAAAATGTAGAATGGGTCTGGCTGAAAAAGACTGGTGAACCACAGCACTCCTTCATTCTGCATATCTATGGCTACATATTTAGATGCTGAAATTTGAAATGAAATTGAAGGAATTACAGGGTGAGTGCAGGTAATATTTAATGAGTTGGCATTTATGAATAATATCAAATAAATAATTTATCATACACAGTGTAAATCATATTATAATTAATAAAGATTGAGACTTAAACACTTTAAATATACAGTTGAACTTTGGTATCTTGAACACTGATATCTTGAATACCATGGATATGTCGAAGTGATTTTGAAGTCACAACCCCTTATTCTTTAAGTATTTTACACTGGATATCTCAAATCCTCAGATATCTGGAAGTTTTTTCTCAGTCCCATCGAGTTCGAGATAACAATATTTGACTGTATATTCTCCCACTTTCTTGCAAGTTGGATTCCTCATCTTAACTCCCCCCCCTTTTCCACTTCTGGTATTTGGGTTAAAATAGCTTCATCTTTTTAATTCAAAAAATCTAATTAGTATTAATACATGTATTGTATATTATAATTAAAATAAAGTTTACTTACCTTCAGTTTTACTTGCCCAATAAAATGAGCCAGATAAATGCCTCAAAGCAAAGGAAACAGACAACCAAAGAGGAAGCTGGGTTAACAAAGAAGCAAATCCTTTCATTGGGTGACAGTTCTCTTTTATGTAATGTTCTCTTACAATCTTCTTTTTCTACCATAAAAAGTGAAGAAAAAAACTAACATTAAGAAAAATGTGCTAATTTCCTGTCATACAAAATAAATTACAACTTCATTAATGTACTAGTATCTGAAAGCTATCAATATTTGAAGGAGTCATTTCTCTCTTCTTTAAGCTAGACAAGTATGTAAATAAAATTTCATCAGCTATGAATATTTATTAAGTCTCCAGTTCTTTTAAAAGACTCTCACTAGTATTTGCTGAAAAATCTCTCAATTTAACTGTGTAATATTTTTTTATTCACTTACATTGACATGAAATACCATTTTCGCCTCCTCTTGGGTCCATCCTTTTCTTACAGCTTCAATGTGCACCTCTCTCTCTAACTCTGGAAGTATCTTTAGCATTTTCTCATTCATTAAAACAAGTTTAGCATTAACTTTCCTGCCATGTACCGAGAGTGGAAATACTAGAAGTGTCTTTAAACCAACAGTAACCACACAAATTGTAGTCCACCATGGCAATCCAGTTAAATCATGACAGTACATTAATGACTTCATTGCTGAGTTCACAAACAGTGTTTCTGGCCCAAAATATTCTTTTACCAGGTTTGACATGGAATCTCGAATAGACTGTGAAGATATTGATCGATTAATATTTGTTTCATAATTCTGGGACCATGGAAGTTTTCTTCTGCAGTCCTGAGGAATGACACAAAGCTTTACTGGATATGTAATATTGGAGGATGCAGCATGGAATGATCTGAGACATGGTGATCTGACCAATCCCTTCACTCTTGTACACACACTTAACGGACTCAAGAGAGGATGCATTCTTCTCCCACCTAAAATACATGCAAGTACGAATATCAGACAATGACAGACATATCGGCCCAACAAAACATTGGCCCACAGACATTTAGGCCCAATAACACTCCAGCCAAGATGACTTGGCCCAAGATTTATGACCTCGGCCCAAGATTAAAAACTGATTGGCAAATCAGAACATATTAGGAAATACATTTACAATGTGCAACGTTGATAAAACTTTGAATTAAAAAATTAAATGAATTAATGATTAAGCCAGTAAGGTATTCATCAACCATATGAATACATTTTCCTTAAGTGAATTGAAGAGAACAAAGGAAGGAGAATTAAAGTGCTGACTGGTAAACAAACATGACTGAGTGGTGCATCATTTGGTTTTTCAAGCATCCTTGGTGACATTGAGGGGTTCTTACAAGTAGGCTTATGAGACACTCTCAACCCATTTCAGATGTTAACATTATATTTGTTTGTGATGGTCAGAAAGTTTGAATGCTGATGGCCAGATAGCTCAGTTGGTTAAGAGCACCTAACTGGTGATTCAGGGGGCCTAATTTGAATCTTGGTCTGGTCCATTGCATTTTCCTTCATTCCTGTTACATTTGGTGTTGTACCATGCCCTGGAAGTGACAAGTGAAAGACCTGCCAGGAAAGAGCCTTGCTTAATGTGTCTTATGGGGAGAAGACCTTTAAGGAGGTAGGAATGAGGCAGTAAGACGGGTTCAGTCGCTGGTGGCCAGATAACTCAGTTGGTAGAGCACCTGTCTGGAAATTCAGGGGGCCCGGGTTAGAATCCCGGTCTGGTAAGTCACATTTTTCTCCTCTCCTGTCATATGTTTATTACTCTCAGACCATACAATGGTACATGTACACATGAGATACATGAACAATAACATACATATTTACTATGAATTTTCACCTGCCTATGGTGTTTATGTCTCCCAAAATTATTCGATACTCAAGAGCATGCTCTGAGTACGATCAATTTTTAAACCAAGGCAGGCTACTGACCGATAAGTTGATGTTACAGGGATTTAAACCTCTTTTAAAGTAAGCATTTTGTAAATTCTACGGTCGTTATAATGACCTTGTTAGCAAAAATAACCCATCACTGGATCTTATTTTGGCTGACATTTTCGTACCAATTGTTAGTCTAACTTTGACTACAGAACATCTGTCTGATCTGTCTTAAATCTTGGACCGAGGTGTCAGGTGATGGGCCGAGACGTCCATGCAGGGCTAGTTTACACACGTCAAATGTGTTAATAAAGAAGTGTTACACTAGAACACGACTTTGTACAAATTATAACGATGTTGACTTTAAAACTATTAAAGTTTTACCCTCAGACACAATTATTTTTCAACTTGTTTCTTTTCATACATCATGTACACTGAGAGTGTCCAAACATCAACTTCTCCCACATGGCAAGAGGTAAACATGGACCGATGGCACTAATATCAGGAAAATTTCAAAAATCTTACTTTCTGATAATGAGAGAAGTGAATTTACATTTTAGTAAATTTCAAACTTATTTATTCCAAAATTATATATACATGATATTATACAACTTAAAAATGTAATTAATGAAGAGTACATAGATATAAAATGATGAGTGGATTTTATTTTAATTTAAAAAAAATGACATAGATCTATTTTCTAAAATTAGATATTTTCCTTGAATCACAATTTAAAAAATAATATTACCATCATTAAAAATTAAACTGATATGGAGAAAATCGTAAACTAATTTAAAGGAAAGAGGGCTGACTAATTATCAAACATGTTGTTGGGAGAGGCGTTGATCGTTTATTAGTATGAGCATTGACACCACGAACAATGGCGGAGTAAGACCAAACTGACCAGGAGAAGAGGACTTTTATAACTGACCTTTGATTCAAGAAGGGTACATTATTTATCTGAATCTGCGGTTTTTAGTTTTTTAAAGTTGTAAAATCAAGGCTAAATCACTTTTTTAAATATCCGAAGAGTGAAACCTGTATTTCGGTGACATTTCCGGCCCACATAATAGGCATATTCTGAACGATTCGACTTCGTCCTGAGACTGTTCTCCCCTCAAACATTGGCCCGATTGTGAGCAGAGTTTCCTCAATGTGTAGTATAATTTTGACACATATAAATTCAGTATATTCACCTGGTTTTATTTTGCAATGAAACTTTTAACGAAGAACAATATTTTTAAAAGTTAATTTCTTAATCCTTGTCCTTTGTGAATGTGTGTTTCTTCAAACATGCAAGTAATATTTCAGTTATGCAGTGATTTTCCTTTCCTTCATAAGGGAAGAATTCCAGGGTCTAAAATTAGCTGCAGATCTGTAGCTCACTGGTCTGAAAAAATTGGGATGGACGACCGGAGAGCTACAGTGCCACCCATTGAGAAAATTGTTACTTAATGCACACAAAAAAGTGAGCTGTTTCACAATTTATTTCTTCTTATATTTCCGCAGCTAGGTAGAATGTTCTATCATTAAAATGATATTGTCCTATGGACCTGGTTTAACGATAGAATTCATTCCATGTTATTGTATTGGCAATGTAGCAAAATAAACACTGGCGATAACTTGAACTCTGTGCATTTTCTACGAACAATCCAGAGAGTTCCGAATGTCTACATGCCCTTTAAATTTGAAGCGAGGAAAAATATTGAGAAAATGAGTTGAATTTTATATAATATATAATATGGATTATTTTTTAGGTTAAAAGGCATATGCAATCTCAAGAAAGGTTTGTTATGATTAATTTGTAGTTATTTTCAGTGGAACTCCATTTATATTCTTCAAAATCAATTCGGAGCGGATCCGCTCTGATTTGCTACATTGCAGGTATATGGGACGTATTCTAACTGTGGTGAGGGTTTGTCTCAAGACACAGTTAGACTATTCTAACTATTTCAATGCCATCTCAAAATATTACTGTGTGTTTCTAACGCATTCTTAAAATATTTCCACTACAAAACATTCCCCAAAACTGTTATTAATAGCCCTCCTGGTCCTGAAATTGAGACCATCGAAAATTTCGCCGATTTATCGCCAAACCCCCTAACTCCATCACTACCCTTACTCCGCTTTAGGGAAACTCCGCTCTGTTTGTAAACAAATGCGTTTCTGATGTCATTTTTTTTATGTGCTGAAAATCTACAATCAAATGCCAAGAAATTTTTAGTCATCTTCAAGAATGCGTCAAAAATAAATAATATTTATACATAATGTATTGTATCTATCATATTTTAAGTGAAATCAGTAAGTACTTTTTCCTTTATGAGCTATTCCATCGATACCTCCGACATGTGCGTCAATATGCTCATTTTTACATGTCAGTCATATTCATGAAGGTTTTTGCCAAAGGATTAATATGACATACCATATTGAATACGGCTAAAAATATTTTATTTTTCATTTCAACTTGCACGTTGGAGATAATGTAGCCTGACGTTATTACTTGTAATTTACGTTACCATTATTTTTTCTGTTGTTGATACTTTTCCTTAAATACAATTAAATACTATTTTAAATCTTCTAAACTAGTTTTCTATGTTTACAAGTTTAAGATGAAGGGAGAAAAAAGTAAACTGGAAAAAAATTTCTAATTAATACGTTGACATACTGTAGATGGCCCTGGTGACGGAGTTAGGGTTCTTTGGTCGTAATGTACATGGATGTGATACACATTTTATTTATAGTAGTTTTGTATAAGCCCAATAACTTAATTTTTTAAAATAGTTCTGGAAACAATGTTTAAGTTCATTACTAAGTGTAGCAAACAAGAAACAAATCAAAAAATAATTTAGTGAGTAACCTGGTGTGTTTTCCGCTTATGGTGACAGAGTTTTGGTAGTAGGAGATATACTGCCATTTTGGATGGCAAGATAATTCGGTCCAATGCACTTTGTACATGACTTATCATACAGTTTTGTCATGGAAGAAGTAAAAGAATGTGATAGGAACACACAGTAATATTTTTAGATATACGGAGAAATAAATTGAGAAACTGTGCACTTTTTTATGCACTATAAATAAAATTATACACTTTTTTTCAATGGGTGGCACTATAGCTCTCTGGTCTTCCTTTCCATTTTTTTTATTCAGACCATTGAGCTACAGATCTGCAGCTAGGTCTAAATTTAGCTTACTGTGTTCTCCCAATGAGTGCCCACACCCCACTGATTTTCAGACTGAAAGAAGGTACCACCCTTCTCAAACTGGTTGACTCACTACGGAGTATAATAAGTTGATGGTGTGTCAGTTGGGTGAGCGCAGGTGTGTATTCAGGGTTCTCCACAAGGGGTTTTACATGGTTACATTATCTAACAAAGAATGATTTATCTACATTATCTATTAAACAAATGTTAAATTAAAGTGAGTTTATTTTTTGTGAACTTCTATTGTTACCGCAAGAACATTGTTTGTGGCTAGATGCAATTCTCAAATGATTGTGGGTCCAGAGGCAGTCTATGCAGAAGACATCGGACTGTTGGACCTGACCGCTGTATAGTGCCTCAGGTCCGATGCTTCATTTTTTACAACGGACCAGAATGTCTGATGTCTCAGTGTCCAGTTTTGAGTTTTACTATTTTGACATGGAGTCATAAAAATGTTTGCTTTAAGAATATTGCACAAATCCAAGTGTGTAAATGAGTGTGATTAAAACCTCATGGACTGTAAGATTTTCTTGGTTCTGCATTTTCACGTGTTTCACTTTCTTAGGTCTTTTGGTCTGACAAAATTAAGTTTGGTCCTGTGTGTTCCTCAAGTATGCAGGAGGAATGTCCTGTGTGACCCAAAAAAATTTGCACAGACTGCAGTGATTTGATACTGAGGAAAAAACTTCAGTTGGATCAATATGCAAAGTCCAAATTTTCCCATCACCCAGGCGTTCCTTGAAGAGCTCGCAAATAAGTTGATTTATATCTTAAAGCAGTATAGATGGTGCCAAAAATATCTAAACATAATTATATTATTTCTAATCGGAATCTTCACATTAATATTGTGTGAATAATAATAAAGCCAAAAGGGGTTCAAATTTTGTCAAGCCCAATGCCATACTAACTTATTCCAGATTTGAAGTTGACAACTAAAAATGCCTGAAGTTTGAAGCACTTTCATAATAGTAATATTGTTCATACACAAATATAATGTCACCAGTTTTAGAATTGAACACTAATTTTAATGATTTAGTTATATCCTAGGCATTTTCCATTTTATTGAACTTGAATATTTACATTAGATAACTAACATGACTATTAAAAGATGCTAATTTGGAGACTTAAAAATGTTTCCAATTAGAGATTGATGGTGATGACTCTAGTTTCTAGACAATTTACATGGAGGCTTGATAGCCATGGTCTGCAGGGTTTGAAATTAATAGTCACCCACTCGCAATTTGCGACTAATGTTCCATGTGGGCGACTTAAAATTACGTTCAAGTTGCCCACATGGCGATTAGAAAATTTATGATAATAAATATTTGTTTTTCAATTCTGTCCGAATGTTTTGTATTTTTCTCTTGAAAAATTTCGTAATCAGTAATCAGTATAATTGCCCGTAAGAAGTACTTATACATAAAGTGTCTAAGTGATTGTGTCGGGCACAATGTGGCATCGATGGGTCAGTGAGCCCAAGAAACGAAAAAGTACTGTTGTTATTTGTGAATGAAAACATGCTATGTGCTCTATATATGATATTGAATGATCATATCAATCTTCATAAACAGAAGAGTTCCACTTCAAATTTAGATAAGTCGTGCATAGTGTTACAATGGAAAGAAACACGAAGCACATGATTAAAAAAAAAAAAAAAACAAGAGGCCCAGGGGCCACATCGCTCACCTGAGCACTATGGCTAGGAAAAAGCAGAAATCAGTTCAGTGTTGAAAGGTTGAAAAGTTTAGATATAAAAGTGGTGGGGGGGGGGGGGGGGGGGGGGCATGAATTGAACAAATCTGAATCTACATTACCTGAGGATGCTTCCATTTAAATATGACCAATCATGGCTTTGCTGTTGTTGAGTAGAAGATTTTTAAAGATTTTTCCTATGTATTTCTATGTGAAACTTTGATCACCCATTGTGGCCCCACCCTACCCCCAAGGGTCATGTTTGAACAAACTTGAATCTACACTATCTAAGAATGCTTCCATATAAATATGACCAATCATGGCTTTGCTGTTCTTAAGAAATAGTTTTTTAAAAAGATTTTTACTATGTATTCCTTTGTAAAACTTTGATCGCCCATTGTGACCCCACCCGACCTCCGGGGGTCATGATTTCAACAAACTTGAATCTACACTACCTGAGGATGCTACAATATAAATATGACCAAGCATGGCTTTGCTGTTCTTGAGAAGAAGATTTTTCCTATATATACCTATGTAAAACTTTGATCGCCCATCGTGACCCCACCCTACCCCCAAGGGTCATGTTTGAACAAACTTGAATCTACACTATCTAAGAATGCTTCCATATAAATATGACCAATCATGGCTTTGCTGTTCTTAAGAAATAGTTTTTTAAAAAGATTTTTACTATGTATTCCTTTGTAAAACTTTGATCGCCCATTGTGACCCCACCCGACCTCCGGGGGTCATGATTTCAACAAACTTGAATCTACACTACCTGAGGATGCTACAATATAAATATGACCAAGCATGGCTTTGCTGTTCTTGAGAAGAAGATTTTTCCTATATATACCTATGTAAAACTTTGATCGCCCATCGTGACCCCACCCGACCCCCGGGGGTCATGATTTCAACAAACTCAAATTTACACTACCTGAGGATGCTTCCGTGTAAATATGACCAATCATGGCTTTGCTGTTCTTGAGAAGAAGACTTTTAAAGATTTTTCCTATATATTCCTATTTTAAACTTTGATCGCCCATTGTGGTGCCACCCGACCCCCGGGGGTCATGATTTGAACAAACTTGAATCTACACTACCCGAGGATGCTTCCACATAAGTTTCATATTTTCAAGCACAGTGGTTCTTGAGAAGAAGATTTTTTAATGATGCCATTAATTTTTCACGAATTCATAATTATCTCCCCTTGGAAGAAGGTGTGGCCCTTCATTTGAACAAACTTGAATCCCCTTTACCCAAGGAAACTTTGTGGCAAGTTTGGTTGAAATTGGCCCAGTGGTTCTAGAGAAGAAGTCGAAAATGTGAAAAGTTTACAGACTGACAGACAACTAGACATACGGACTACAGACAAAATATGATCAGAAAAGCTCACTTGAGCCTTCGGCTCAGGTGAGCTAAAAACGAAAAATGGGGTTGTTGTTTTTATATTCAATAGAAGGTGTGATAATCTGTGGGCGAATAAATTTTGATGTGGGCCCCAGAATTGCAAGGTTCAGTAGCCCAAATGGCTATCAAGGATTACAAGTTAGTTTAAAACCCGGGTCTGATGCCAAAACATCATGTCCGATCTGCACAAACTTTCTTTATTCAGAATTTTAAAGTCTTCTAAATTATATCCAAATTCTGTTTGAACATAGAACAAAATATTAGTGATACATGTATAGTACTTGTCTGTTATCTTCACTGGGAAGAAAGTCATATGATGACACTACTTTAATAGATAACCTAGGCATTTCGAGTTTCATTGTTCTTTTTCATTTTGTAGTATTTTCTTTTTTTTTTTACAGGTTCATGTTCAATTAAATTCTGGACATAGTCATCACTCCATTTGATTTTGTAAATTTTACACAACTTACATCATGTTGTCCAACTGTTACCAGAAGTTCTACACTAACCAGATCCACTCCAGCTCACTGCTCTATCAGCTGTCTACCATGTGGAAAAGCCAAGTCCTTTGTGATGCTGTCATCAGATCAGGCTCCACTGTTATCAAAGTAAATGATCTCCTATCACAGTTTCGTTAATGTTTGACATAACTTTGGTCATACATTCAGAGGGTAACGGTAAATACTATGAAGGATCAGGGAAAAAAGGGTGGTTGAGCTACTTGAAATAAATTTTCTACTTTTTAATAAGTCCTGTCATAGGTGGAATTCAGTGATGACTAATGAATAGCAAAGATTTACAAATCTTGAACTTATATATTCATATACATGTATATATACTTTGGTGGTAATAAGATGAATTTCTTTTAGAATTTATACATGTATCTCTTGACAATAATGTTGAAGGGAATATCCTGTTCCAATGTTGATATGTTATTATTCATGCTTAATGATACAGTGTAGTCTCTCTGTGCCTACCATATGGATTAACATGAACTATTCTTTCTTACAGGCCCATCGTGTAATTTTAGTAGCTGCTTGCCCTATGTTACAGTCCATGGAAAAGTCTTCAATAGGTTCCCATCTGGAGGTCCGTCTGGCATCAGACATCGCAGCAGATTCCATAAACACATTCCTACAATATCTGTATGAAGGCTTTATGATGTTAACTGAGGAGAATTGTAAAGAAGTGGAGAAAATCGCCAGATTGCTACAGGTTGATAGTGTGATCAAGTGTTGTGCAGACTTCAGTAAGTGTGTTAGCTTAAAAACAGGGACTGGAAACTTTAGTAATGAACAGTATCGCTATACATTCCATGACATGATAGAGTTCCGCCATGTTAGATCTTCAGACTTACAGAAAACAGTGCAGGACAAACTAAAGAGGCCATCCACAGATTTCCTCAGAGCCGGGAGCCCAAGCACAAAGAGACCCAAGCATTTCAGGATGGGAAGCCCCTCAGATATATCAGTGATTGCAGATAGGTTATCGATGGCTCAGAGTTACGCACAGCAAGAAAAACAAGTGAATCACTCTGGTGCTGTGAACTCTAGTCAAAGATCTAATGGTAGTTCCCAGAAACAACCTGTGTTCCCTGTAGAGATAGTGGAGGACAGTATAGAACTTGTTCAGACAGAGGTCAACCCTGACACAAATACTATTAGTGTGGATGAAGCAGTGTCTGTAGGAATTGCCAGTCAGATAGACAATTCTTCTGATTTACAGGTCATTGACATATCAAAAGATAAATCAAACCACCCAAGTGCTAGCAACAATAGTGCAGCCCATTCCCACCATCCACATGATTCCATAACTGTAAATCCTCTGGAAAACTTTGCCAACACAGATGGTGCTTTGTCGAATCTGAGAGATTCTTCATTTCCTCCACCTCTGACTTCTCATCGAACATTATCTACATCCTCATCTAGACAAACTGAAGACGTACCCACTCTGCGTAGGTCAAAAGCAACTGAAAGACCTCCTGATTCCTTGCCTTTACAAGCCATGCAGCATTTGACCAGGTCTTCAAATTCTTCCCTAGTTCCTAGCAGTCCTGTACAGTCAAGTCAAGATATTCAGGGGGGCAGATCAATGTTTACAACTTCTGTTACTTCAGAGAGGGGCAGTAAGTCAGGCAGGGCTGGTGCTTCCCAGACAAATGATGGAAGGAAAGAAAAAAGGTACATAGTTGTTTAACATTGCAAACCAAGGGTTCAAAATTTTCTGAATACTGTCTTCCTTAAGAAATACAGTAGAAAATGCAAAGCTAGGAAAAATTTTTTAAAATGCTTTATGATTTAATTAAAAAATTAATAAGAACCAAAATTTTTTGCCATCCAATTCATAAGGGCTGGGACGATACAACTTTTTCTATATCAATATGTATCACGATATTTGAGTCACGATACGATATGTATCCCGATATGTCGAATTGATTACAAAATGTTTTCTTTTTTTATTAAAATGAACGAAACATTTCTTCACAAATAAGAAATAATTTATTCTAAGAAGCTGTATATCTGTTGTAAAACAAAATCATTTTACACAAGTGGTATTAATTATTATGTATTTCATAATTAATATTTATATTTAGCATATTTATTTTATATAATTAACCCAAAATGTTAAGTACATATATATATATAAATAAATATATATATATATATATATATATATATATATATATATATATATATATATATATATATATATATCTATCTAACAAAGAAAAACATGTTAGAAATCTTTTGACGATATATCGATATTTCCTCATATGTATCGATATGCGTATCACCCTCACATTGTATCGATATTATCGATATCTCGATATATATCGTCCCAGCCCTACAATTCGTAAAAACTGAAATTAAAGTTCTCTCTATGTATGTATTACATTTATATCTAATGTGTAGGATCTGAAAATTTTAATGAATTACATGTATTGTAATTTTTTATTAATGATTTCATTAATTTCCAGCTCTCTGCAAGGTGAACCTGATCTCAGTATTGTAAAGAGTGAGACTATGGACAATGACAGCACACCTGGAGGACTTGAGATGTATGTGGACTCACTAGATGAACCTCATGACACGGGTCAGCGAGATTCGGAGGCGGACGACACAGAAGGTGATGTCACGGGTGACTGGAACAAAGAGGATTTATCAATGGAGGGAAACATTACTGGTGACCAAACAATGTGGGTGGATCCAAATTTCAAAGGTTAGTATTGTTTCAGGTTAGAAGAAAAACAGCTTGAATTGTTGCCACAAAGTAGCAGTTACCAGTATATGTAATGTGCTTAATGCATTGGATCTAAAAAGATTTTAACCATTGACATTTTGTTTTATTTTTAAAAGGGAGGGGGGACTAAATTTTTGGTAGCAAGACCATGCTGTTTTAGAATTATTCACACATGTATATTAACATTTCTCTGCACTTTACACATTCTATTATTAGTCAACTTTTCCTCATTAGTCAACCTTTCTCATTCGATCTCAGTAGAATTTGTTCAAATTTATTCATTGCTCATTGTATATAACATATAGAGTTGCTGTTGAATGCATAAAGTTAAAAATGTCTGTTATTATCAGATTGACAGAGTATGATTTTATGTATAAACAGTTGTACTGATGCTGTCCTATAGTTAAACTAGAGTTTATTATATGTAATATTCATCTTTTTAGTGCTGTCTTTCAACTCTTAGTGATATTTCTCAATCATGCACTTTTCACTCTGTGAAACCTTTAGGAGTAGTTATGGAGTAACAAACACTTTTTGTGCTATTGCATGGGTGAAATTGTTTGCATACTGGACACAAGTTGAGAAAGATGTAACTGGATTTTGAATTCTGTACATGTACTTGATTTAGCCGATTCAAACTGCAGCACATGTGTTGGCCATGGATTAATTACCGGGGTAATACAGTCATAAAGTATTCTTGTCTGTATTTAAAATTCATGACAGTTGTGGGAATTCAAACTTAGGAGATGATCATGAACTTGCTCTACAGGAGCCAACATATGAATTAAATAAATACCAAGGAACCGCAGGTGGGGGATGAGGGTGGGGATTGTGTCCCCCCACTAATATTGCCAATTTATAGTATACTATGGAAAACACTGGTACTTTATGCTTGTGTCCCCTCAATAATAATGTCTGATGACTTTTTTAAAATTTTTTGATTGTCATGGAATATATGCTTGGTAGGTCCCAGGGTTGGCAAAAAAGCGGGAAATACTCATATTTCCCAGTACAGTGGGAAATACTGGTAATTCCCGGGAATTACTGGTATTTCCCGGGAAATACTGGGAAATAAGAAATAGCTACATATTTTTAACTTTATTCATATTTGCTTAGGTATAGACATGTAGTACCACTTATTGGCTGAGATACCAACCTTTATGATTTTCCCAGATTTGAAAATTTCTGGTTTCCTAGTCTTTCAATTTAAATAATCATAACACAGTATACTCTTATACTAGTCATGAATGCCATTGTTTCTTGCTTAAGTCAGATGTAGTCTATATAGGTCCATGAAATGAACTTAAAGATTCCATTTGTTTTTATTTATATAACTAAAGAAGGATCTAAGAAAATTGTCAAGTGTAGAATACTGTGTAAATATCAAACCTAAGAAGAAGCCTTTCAGTAATCTACTCAGGCAATTATCTCTCAAATCAGGATCTCAAAACTGTCCAGAGTCAATTAGTTCAAACAACATGATTGATTGTAATAACTACAGTGTTTATAGAAGGATTAAAACAAGTTTATTATCAGGTGACTAGTATGTTCTTGGAGTTGTAATTAATAAAATTAATAATTTTACTAAACTGAAAAGAAACTTCAGTTTTGTTCATAAAATACAATTAGGGAAACATGTTTTGCTACAAATGCATATGGGTAGGGGACCTTGCTGGAATAGTGATATATACTAAGTATGTTAAATTGCAGTTTGAGACATATTCAATTTCATTCATCTTCTGTTTTTATGTTCATTTTATTTCTGAATTTTGTATAAGATGAAATGAATTAAAGAAATAAAATCTTAAATTGACAGTACGGCGCATCTCATCAAAAAACTGAATAGACAAAATTTTCCGACAAGATTTGGAATTTTTTTACTACTCATAAATGTATAAACTTTCAGAAAATTACAACTTTTACAATTAAATAATTTGGATTATTTCATTAAAATTAATAGTTATTTATGGGACGTAAATATATACATCGCAACGTGTTCGGGGTTCCACATTCCATGCTATGCACGCATGCGTAGTTTTCATAAACAAAACAGCATGGTTAGAGAGGGAATCCCGGTAGGCCTGCTACATTGACAAAGTCGACCAAAAAGAAAAAGAAACTGAAAATAGAACTTGAAAAAGCAACTTTCCTGACTAAAATTTAGTTTGGGGATTAATAAAATCGCTGGATAAGGAAGAAACGGGAACTCGGCGACACTCACGCAGGGCTCTCGAAGGTTCTATTCGACAGGTTTGTTGATACTAGTTATCATTTCTCATTTTTCCATTGCTTTCAAAGAAAAAAATAGTGTAAACTCAACATAAAAAATACATTTTTGACTTATAAACATTGTTGCCATTTGAAATGCTAATTTTTTTTAACTGTGCAGAAAAATATTTAGTATGACATTTGCCGCGATAACGTATGATTAGTTGGCTTTTCCTTTCTCGGACCCCAATACAGAAAACGTAAACATTTGTACTTTTAATTCTGTTAAATTCGCCTGAATGCAGACTAAAATCTTTACGATCATTATTTTAGATTATTTTATCAGAAAGTTATGATAATTTGTGTTTTTGAAAATTGCTTTCACCTAATATTCATTACAACTGTAAACTCTACAGTGTAGGCACGTGCCGTTTTAGAATTCACGTGGTACAAATAAACAGATCTAAGATTGCTCCAGTTCGTACGACCCTTGATTTTCCGGCAGATTCTAATTACGTTAATTTTGTTTGAGTAGAGAATATTTCTGTTTCTCAAACTGCTTACATCAACTTTATACCTTATTTCTTAATGACATATTGGGTAAATTTGGATGATAAAGCACACATTTTGGAGCCGTACTGTCGCTTTAAATTTTGTATTTCCCAGTATTTCCCAGCTTAGAGAAAATTTGTAGTATTTACCAGGATGGGAAATACCGGTATTTACCACTGGTAATTCCCACCACTGGTATTTCCCGGCCAACCCTACTAGGTCCCCTCAACTGAAAATGTTTGGTAAAGGACCCCCCCCCCCCCCCCAAAAAAAAAAAAAACAACACACACACACAAAACTGAAATTGCTTCCTGTGGGCCTGAAACACACAGTAAATGTATTTGATCTGTTATCAACAGGTAGAGCCCCCCCCCCCCCCCCCCCTCAAATACATTAATGCTCAAAGTACTTTATAATGTGTGTTCTTATTACACTCCAGATATCTACATTATCATAGCATGTGTTTAAATCATTCTTAAATACTTTCAGTTTCAATGTGCATTCAGACTATAAGCAATTAATGAACCATACAGCATGCTGTTTTGCAAACAACTGGATTCACTTTCCTCTCTTAATTATTATTTAATAGCATAAACTAAAAATACTCATTAACATTTTATCTTCAAATACAAATGTTCAAAAGTGATCTTGATTGAAAATTTGCAATTTTCGAAATTTATTTCAAATCAAAATCAGCTTAAATTTTTTAAAGTTATCAAAATAAAAATACAATTTTTTGCATGATTTTTTTTTTTTAATTCTCTGCTAAATCCAAAAGTTTGGTCTAAAACGTAGAGCTATTTCTGCTTCCAGGTAAGAATGAAAACGATTGGGGAGAAGCAGGGATAGAAAGTGAATCCAGTGATAGCTTCCCTGGACATTATTTGAAAAGGTTGCCAGGCTCCAAGAAACGTGCTTGTGTTTACTGCAGCATGCGCAATACTAAACACAAACTAGGCTGGCCTGTGAAATCGCATTATGTCTGTTCCGAGTGCGATGTTGCATTGTGCAGAGCGGGTCAAGCATGCTTTCAGGGCTACCATAAACTGAGATCATGCAACCCAGAATTATCTCATGAAGATTTGAAAAGAAAATATAAATATGGGAACTTCACATTCTAAGATAATTTAACAAAAGTATGCTATTCAAAAAAAAATTGATATACCTGTCAATGTATTTACCATTTACGTCATACTGACTTTACTGAAAATTTTCGCAAGGCATATGTAACTTAAAAGGAATGTACATGAATGATAATTACATGTTTGTCAAAAGTAATTTGTGCAGGTAGCATTTGTTGATGCCATATCAAAAAGTATTAAAATGTTGAACAATGTACCATACATTTTAATAAACATTCTATTTGAATCTCACAACATTGGTTGAAACATTTTTCTTTGGTATTGAGAGTAATGTCTCAAAGCACAAGAGTGTATAGCTGCTGGTCGTATATGTAAGAGCACCGTTTGTGAGCCTTTTCACATATCATGACTGAAATAAATTAATAAATAATCAGCCATTAAAATCCACACATGAAATATACACAATTCAAGGGTTATGGTACATCTTCTTTTATACAAAGCAATCACACTAAACAATAGCATAAATAAAAAGAAATTTCATCATTATACTTTTCCATTATTGTATTCCCTGGAAGTGAGGTTCATCACTGACAATAACTAGGGGGGAAAAAAAACAAACATGAAATTGTGCAGTGTTGTATGCCAATGTCATTACTGGGTATGTGTGAAAGAATTGGTCTGAAAATGAAAATATCAAAGATTTGATTATTTGCTTAAAAAAAAAAAAAAAAAAAAAAAAAAAAAAATTGCAGAAAGCAAGAAGAGGAAATGTATTCTGCTAATTGAACATTTTTGTCTCTTTTGAAAAAATAAAATTTGTAAACAACTAAATATATTCTATGCAGCTTGCAGTTTATTACCTTTAAAGTTTTCAATGAAAGCTTCAAGCAAAAATTGACAAGAAACCATGCTAAGCTTTTGTGTATGGAAGCTTTCCATGTTGTGTGTGTGTCTTCTGAGCCATGCTCTGTAATGAAACTCTTTCTCTTGTCTCTTGCAGAGCATGGTTGGATAAGCACACCACATCGGGCAACAGAGGTTCTCACCCAACTGGCAATGTATGCAGCTCCACCTAGTGGTGGACTGACCCCCATAGAACCCCCACCTCTTTCTGTGTATGTCACGCCACCAAACGGAGGCAGTAGCAGACGCAAAAAGAAAAAGCATTATGAACCTGTAATTGATTTCAAAGAGAGTGTAATTGGTAAGGAGGATGACAAATCCTTGGATGATTCAGTATCTGCTGATGGTGAATTGATGTCGGCCAGCAGTCTTGTGTCCACAATGACTGAAAACGAGTTTGCTCAACTGTCAAGTATGATCCCTTCGTTCAGTGATGTAAGTGTCCATTGCACTGAGAGTTTGCAAGGCAAGCAAAAGAACTGTGTCCTCTGCAAGTATTTGGGCAGAAAGACCAACGAGGGGCTCCTAAAGGTTAGAACCAGAGCCAAGTGTAACGCCTGTGATACCCCTTTATGCAAAGGACCACCAAGGAACTGTTTCCGTGACTTCCACGAATTGTACAAGAAATTCAAATTTCCTGACTTAAAGTGGAGTCATGCTTCAGTGTATCAGTACCCAGGAAGAGGAGCAAATGCTCGATTTATCATCACTCCAGATGTAAACGACAGTCTTCCTCCACAGTGACAAAACTATCATAGGTTACAAGATGAAAGTTGTTTTTATTCAAGAGAAATTTTATCAATGAAACTAAGGTTGTACTGAGAGTAGGTAATTGATCAGTGTGCACCAGAAACTTTTTACAGCATTAGACCATCTTGGCTAGAAGTAGGCTTTAGTGATAATCTGGCATCATTTTGTACTTTACAGCAGTACATGTATGTGTAACTTGTAAAATTCTATAGGTAAAAGGTATAGAAAACAAAACAGAAAAGAACTGTGAAGTGTTTGTTCATATTGATGATAATTCAAAGAAAATCACTTGTCAGCATCATAAAAACTACTGCTGACCTCCTTTTTGGATCAAAATTTGATTAGAAGTTTTGGTGCAGACTGACTGATTATGACTTAAGACGAGGCTGCTCATTATATATGCATGTACTTGTTTTTTGTTTTTATCATGTTATTCCTTGGTGTTGGTTATATTGGTTATATTTTAAAATATTTATCATTATTTGAAATGCCTGACTTGCTCTGCATGATGAGGAATAAATTCAGGTGTCTTTTTTTTGCTGATCATTATACATTTTTCCTTGATCTTCTTTGTGAAATATGACATGACTTGAAAAAAAATATTGTACTTTGTTAAATTTAAGGTTCACAAGTTCTGCAGTGCAATATTACTTATCAGTGTTCACAACAAATTAACTTTGGTATGTTCCTGTATGAATGTGAGAAAATTAAACCTGAAGTATCATTTATACAAACTATACTGATGGAGTATAGATGTATGCAAGTTATTTATTTTAACAGTGTATTTCTTTTTATTTTTGAAATGCATCATTTAGAACAGACTTATGAACTAAAAATGTACACTTATAATTATAATTGTAAGTACTTCTAACTTTATACAAATGTTATGTAGATTTTTACAACAAAACTTTGGTGATGAAGGACAGAGATAATTTACCTTAATTAATGGCAGTGGACAAGTAATCTGTTCGTTCATTGAACATTCACCAACTACCCACCTAGAACTCTGTTCTAAAATTTTGATTACATACTTTTTAGCTCACCTGAGCCGAAGGCTCAAGTGAGCTTTTCTGATCAAAATTTGTCCGTTGTCTGTCGTTGTCGTCGGTGTCGTCGTCGTCGTTGTAAACTTTTCACAATTTCATCTTCTTCTCCAGAACTACTGTGCCAATTACAACCAAACTTGCCACAAAGTATCCTTGGGTGAAGGGAATTCAAGTTTGTTCAAATGAAGGGCCACACCCTCTTTCAAGGGGAGATAATAAAGAATTAGTGAAAAATTAATAGCATCTTTTAAAAATCTTCTTCTCAAGAACCAGAGGGCCAGGAAAGATGAAACTCATGTGTAAGCATCCTTAGGTAGTGTAGATTCAAGTTTGTTCAAATCATGACCCCTGGGGGTAGGGCGGGGCCACAATGGAGGATCAAAGTTTTACATAGATATATATAGGAAAAACCTTAAAAAAAATCTTCTCAGGAACAGCAGAGCCATGATGAGTCATATTTATATGGAAGCATCCTCAGGTAGTGTAGATTCAAGTTTGTTTAAATAATTACCCCCAGGGGTAGGGCGGGGCCACAATGGAGGATCAAAGTTTTACATAGAAATATATAGGAAAAATCTTAAAAAATCTTCTTCTCAAGAACAGCAAAGCCATGATGAGTCATTTATATGGAAGCATCCTCAGGTAGTGTAGATTCAAGTTTGTTCAAATCATGACCCCTGGGGGTAGGGCAGGGCCACAATGGACTATCAAAGTTTTGCGTAGAAATATATAGGAAAAATCTTTAAAAATCCTCTTCTCAGAAACAGCAAAGCCCTGAATGATCATATTTATATGGAAGCATCCTCAGGTAATGTAGATTCTATTTTGATCAAATCATGACCCCGGGGGTAGGGTGGGGCCACAATGGAGGATCAAAGTCTTAAATAGAAATATATAGGAAAATTTCTTCTTCTGAAGAACTGCAAAGCCATGATTAGTCATTTTGATATGGAAGCATCCTCAGGTAGTGTAGATTCAAGTTTGTTAAAATGATGACCCCCTGGGATAAGGTCGGGCCACAATGCAGGATCAAAAATTTTACATAAGAACATATAGGAAAAATATTTCTTCTCAAAAACAGAAAAGCTATGTTTAGTCATATTGATATGGAAGCATCCTCAGGTAGTGCAGATTCAAGTCTGTTCAAATGATGACCCCTGGGATAGGGAGGAGCCACAATGGGGGATCAAATTTTTACAAAGGAATATATGGGAATTTTTTTTTAAAATCTTCTCAAGTACAACAAAGCCATTTGTTATATTGACATGGAAGCATCATCAGGTAGTTTAAAATTCAAGCCCCCCCCCCCCCCCTCCCCAGTAATCTTTTCAATACTGAACTGTTTTGTGCTTTTGCCAAGGCAATGTACTCAGGTGAGCGATGTGGCCCATGGGCCTCTTGTTTGGTGGTTGTTTCGTTATCAAGATATGTAATGTGAATGACTGTTCCCCTTTTGTTAGAAGCATGTTTATTTAGTTTTAATCCACAATTTGTACTTTCCATTTGAAACATAACACTGTGTATACAGTGTACAAATGAAATAGAAGACTAAATTTGTTACCAAGGTGAAACATAAAATTGCTTCAAATGGTGTCCTAATTTAGAAGTAAGTTAACATTGAAATTAATTTCCTCACCCAATAATCACTTATATCCTTGGAAAAATGGAAATAATTTTTTAAGGGTCACCAAAGTAATTTGAAAGTGGTGTCTTAACATTTTATTTAAAAAACAACAATAAAAAAACCCTGGTATTTATTTTAAATTCATGATTTGGTACATTGAAAGAGAAATAAAAATTGACAAATTCCTCTTCATATTGTAGGATATTTACATACCAGTAACTTCAATTTCTTGCAGAATTAGCTTTTGCTAGTATTATAAGTCTCAGATTTAGAAAAAACAATCTTATTTTTTTATGAAATTTGATAAACTGTTAAACGTAGTAATATAGAGGATGGTAACAATATGTTTATTATTATGTAAGACTGAAATGGCGAAGTTTTAGTATGTGTGATACCAGAAGCTGAAATCATAATCTAGTCAAGAGAGCAACAGGTGTGCTCATATTGTAAATCAAGCAATATTTACCAAAAAAAATCTTGCATGTAAAAGAACTTTCAGTTTATTATATTATATTAAAGTATAAGCATTAGTAATAACTTAGTGTTGTCTAATAGTGTAAGATAATTCCATTGTTACTCAGGGGTTAAGGAGTATTTTGATAAATATTGCAGTAATGTTACAAGCTTTGCTATTTTTACCCTCTCCTCATTGGCAAATTAAAGGCTGGATTATTTCATTTTCATTTCAAAAAGAGAATATATTGGTAAGAAAATGATGTCCATGAATGAGTGACAGCCTAAAACAGATAATAATTACACAAGTTTTTATGGTGATAGAAATTAATTTTATACCATATTTGCTGTAGAATAGTCTTATGTTGATTATATGTTAAGCATTCCATATACAGAACATTGTCTGCCATTTGTGAAAAAGAAATTTGAAAATGAAGTATACTGCATGTTATAGTCAGATTTGTATATGTATTCATAATGATATATATAATGTAGAGAATTTATCAGCTATATTTGACAAAATGCTGTATTTGTTGATTTTAAATAAATTTTATCTATTTTTCTCTCATATTTTTTTTATTCAGGAATGAAATGCATGCATTGTCAAAGCAAGATTATCAGAATATGCAAATAGTTATCCTACATGAAAAACAGATTCCAAAAAAAACCCCACCCCTTTTGCATTTAAAAAAAAAATACTTCATATTGTTGCATGGATTGGGTTTCATTTAATCATTGAAGATACATGTAGTTTAAAGATAATGTGTGTGTTATTGGTTCAGTGGATTAATATTCGAAACCCAATTAGAGTAATAAACATTGCTGTCCTTCGAATACCATACTGCCAAAGTTAACGACATAAGTCACAGATAGCTTGATATCTGTATTAAGTGTAATAATTGTATGCCATGCCCTTGCAATATTTATTTGTTTCTGTTTTGCAGGGCATGGCGTGCTGCACTCTCAACACCACTCTGATCACTCATCCAACATCAGGTTTCCCCCTAGACATATACCAGCTTCATACTTGTCAAAAGAAAATATATCGAACGCGACAACGTCTGTTGATCACACCTTGGGTCAGATGTTTGTCAGTGGGGACTATATTAAAGGCGACACCGATATTGGGGATCATCGCCAGAGTACTGGACAAGTCCAAGTTGTGGAAATGGAGAATCAATTATCTCCCGACGACTTCTTGAAAATGCAGTCCGAATTACCTCACATGGATCAAAATCGAATTCATGTTTCGGAGAGTTTGCAAGGAAAACAAAAGTATTGCCTTGTTTGTAAGCACTTGGGTCGCAGAACTAATGATGGAACATTGGCTGTACGCACGCGCGCCAAATGTTCTGTTTGCGACATTCCGTTGTGCAAGGGCCCGCCCCGAAATTGTTTCCGAGATTTTCACGAACTGTGTCGTTTATGTAAATATCCCAGTTTGCAATGGACCCTTCTATGAAGTACTTTTTGTTCAAATTGGTGGTGGAGTTACTCGAGAATATCGTACAGTTCTTCTGTTTTTATAATTATGAGTTGATTTATATTCAAGATCAACTGTTTTGTTTCTTAGCAAAATAGCTTGACATAAAAAAAAATCCACAAAAGCTGTCATTAACAATTTAATAATTGATATTGTAATAAAACAGTAAAAATATTGAGTATGTTTAGTGTTTAAATGAAAAAAATACGGATAACAAAATGTGGTCAATCTCGTAAACTCTGTAAAAAAAATACGAAACGTGTACAGGACAAAAACACGGACCTCTGGAAACACCAGAGGTGGGATCAGGTGCCTTAAGTTAATAAGAAAGTTGTATGGCTACAGCTGGACCCTGATTTTACGCTTTTTTCATTTATCCAGACTCGGATTAAGTTTGTGTATATTTATTACCACTTTCATTTTTAGCTTAAAAAATAAAAATCTAGGAATATGTTGAAGTACATTTTGGTGCTAAATTCTATATGTATTTTAAAAGAGAGATGATGTTTCATATATACACATTTAGGTACTATCAGATTGGCAAATGCAACTTACACTCATTCAAAAACAGACTTGAATTGGAACAGGGAGGAGTAAGATTAATTCGTAGATGTGAGATAAAAAAAAGTTTTTGAATATAAAAGAAAATACATGTATATTTTATTTACTGCGTCGAAGGACTTGGTTTGATCATACGATTCCAACGAAGATGCTAAGATGAAGGACGCTTTTCTTTTCGTCTTGCAAGAAATCTGTTTTCAATCTATAGTGAATGATGGTTTTGGCATGCTTACGCAATGCATATATTGACTAGCATTTTATTTTGCTATAAGATAAAAGTGTACTTTTCCTTTTCCCATTAGGTTTGAAAAACTTTTTAGCTTACCTGAGCCGAAGGGGGCACAATATGCGATCAAGTTAGAGGAAAATTCTTCATCTAATGAACAACAAAGTCATTATTAGTCATATTGATATGTAATATCAAATACTCAGGTATTTGGATTCAAATTTATTCAGATCAGGGTCCTTGGAATAGGGTGAGGCAACAATAGGGATCGGAGTTTTACAAGGGATTATTTTAGGAATGACTCCAATTCTTGGCCAAATTATTCGAGTATAACCTGGTTTGGGTCAGTTTACGCTTTATAATCCGCGAAGCGTAAACTGACCCAAACCAGGTTATACTCAAATAATTTGGCCAAGAATTAGAGTCATTCCTTATAATTTAATTTTAAAATCATTAAATAACTATGGGTGTAAAATTTCGTTGCTTTTTATTAGTTCAAATTTGCCGCTCAATAATACAACCGTAGTAGCGGAAGTGATGGGAAGCGAGGGGAGGTAAAAACTGATACATAGGCCCACCAGCCTTGTTGTTTGTATACATGTGGTAAGATCGAATTATTGCTTGAAGTTAAAGGTTCATTTATTAAATCTGGAATTTTTCATGAATCCCGGGGACTGGAAATGAGAGGATTGTATGGATACAGATGATTCAGCTGGTTGTTAGGGGTGTGTGTCCCCATACCAAACCAGGTTATACAGAAATAATTTGTGTTCCTTTTTGGATATTAACCAATCAGAGGCTAGAATACAAACACAATTAAATTATATAGAAAGAAATCATTTCGTTGTTGTGTGGAATCGTTTTTTTTTTTAAATTATGGGCCCTTGGGTTAGGGTTTGGGCGAAATTAAAGATCCAAATTTTACTTAATGCATTTGTACAAGAAAAAATCTTCTCCAGAACGACAGGGCTATATTGATTGTATTGATATGGAAGCATCCCAAAGTTGTGTGGTTTCAACTTTGATTAAATCACAGCTCTAGCAGGGCCAGATTTGGTCCACATTATGGGGTCAATTTTTTAAAAATGAAATTAAAGAGGGAAATTTAAAAAAAAAATATCGGCAGATGAAGAGCAGCAGGGGCCAAAGTGACTCAGGTGGGCGTTGTGGCCAAAGGACCTCTTGTTAAAATTTTCAGTACCGCTGTACAATAGCTTTCGTTGATAAAAAAAATGTTTCTCAAGTATTTTCTTTCATAGCACAATATCTACAAAGTTTCAGACTGTATCCATATATTACTTCCAAAAGTATAAATACCATGCACTGAGTGTTTAACAATGTTTGCACATTAATTTGTTATTAATTTCAACATGCTTCATGTTTTGAACAGTTTCTTTATTTTTCTAAAATACTTATGTGTACTAATTTTAACGTCTTAGCAGGTCATTGACTAATTAGAGCAATCACGATTTAGCTTTCCGTGTTTGCATTCTTCATGTATTTGTGAAATAATATTTTGGCTATGATCGTGAATTCCACGTAATATACTAGTAGGCAGCTCGTACGTGTGACAAGTATGAAACTTGCTGAAATAAGTACATTTACAGAATTTTCTCTATAACTTTAAAATGTTTCAAGTATTTTGCAACACATATTTGTTTTCACTTAAAGTGTATGCATTTGAAAAGTGTTGCTTTTGTAGAAATGCCATTTTTAGAAAATTAAGAATGAAAAGAAAGATCTCTAACTCATGCAATGTATCTCATTTAAAGAAAAAGGAGGAAATGAATATTGAGATTTCATTACATTTCCAGGTTGTTCGATGAAAAAGGCAAAGAAACAGAATACTGTGATAGGTCTTGGAATTCCGAATGAAAGTCTGCATTTTCTTTCAGTTATCCACGGTTGCAAGAAATTGTGTGCGTATTGTTTATCCAACAAAATTAGGACAAAAGCGGGTTGGTTCATATACACCAAATTTAAGTGTAACTATTGTAATGTCCCTTTGTGTCAAGGACGATCTGGACGATTGTGTCATCTGTTGTATCACAAACATATGGCCGAAAATTTTGAGGATACAATAGAAGAAAAGGAAGAAATGAAACCACTTCCGGATCATCTGTTGTATCAAAAGACAGAAAACTTCGTGGATCCAGAAGGGGGACTTCCGGATCAGGAACAACTCGCTACAAGGCGAAAACACCCGAGAAAAGGACGAGTTCCCCCAATCCAGTTTACGCCTGATTCCAACAATGAACAAATTGACCTTGAGTCGGGTAATGAAGAAGATGACGACTTACTGGGTCCATTTTTGTATGACGAGACTGGTATAGAACCCGAGGGTTCCGGCAAGCCAATATAAATAATCCACAACTATGCATAGATGTTTTATATGCAGCATCGTACCAAATATAGTTAAAGAAATTTATATATATATATATAATTTAATTTTTTAAAAGACTTTATTTGTGGATTTGTTTGGTTTTTAGCTCATCTGAGCCGAAGGCTGAAGTGAGCTTTACTGATCACTTTTTGTCCTGGGTCCATCTGTCTAGCTGTCTGTCTGTCTATAAACTTTTAACATTTTCGACTTCTTCTCAAGAACCACTGAGCTAATTTCAACCAAACTTGCCAAAAAGTATCCTTGAGTGAAGGGGATTCAAGTTTGTTCAAATGAAGGGCCACGTCCTCTTTCAAGGGGAGATAAAGAATCAGTGAAAAATTAATAGCATCTTTTAAAAATCTTCTCAAGAACCACAGAGCCAGGAAAGATGATACTCATGTGGAAGCATCCTCAGGTGATGTAGATTCAAGTTTGTTCAAATCATGACCCCTGGGGGAAGGGCAGGGGCCATAATGGAGGATCAAAGTTTTACATAGAAATATAAAGGAAAAATCTTTAAAAAATCTTCTCAGGAACAGCAAAGCCCTGATTGATCATATTTATGTGGAAGCATCCTCAGGTAGACAGTGTAGATTCTATTTTGTTCAAATCATGCCCCCCGGGGGTAGGGTGGGGCCACAATGGAGGATCAAAGTCTTAAATAGAAATATATAGGAAAATATCTTCTGATGAAGAACTGTAAAGCCATGATTTGTCATTTTGATATGGAAGCATCCTCAGGTAGTGTAGATTCAAGTTTGTTAAAATGATGACCCCCGGGGATAGGGTCGGGCCACAATGGGGGATCGAAAATTCAACATAGGAACATATAGGAAAATATCTTCTCAAGAACTGAAAATCATGTTTAATCATTTTGATATGGAAGCATCCTCAGGTAGTGTAAATTCA